TTTGTAGGTTATCGCAAACAAAATAATCAAACTTGTATGGAATTTGTCCACGAAAAAGAGGTTTATTTTGATCGATGGTGTAATTCGATGTATATTGGTGATAGTTTCGACAAACTAAGACAATTATGCCTAATTGAGGAATTTAAATGTTGCGCACATGACGACCTCGAAACTTACTTTGATGAAAAGAAAGTTGAAACACTAGAGGAAGCAGACGCTCATTCAGATGATTATACTTTAACACATAAAACCACTTTTCATAAAAAGAAATTCCAACCATTTCAACAAAAACCTGTATCTGTTCAATCCACTAAAGCTGAGGATTCTTCTAAAAACTCAGCTTCTCTAGTTCGAAATCTTCATACACTTGGGCCAAAACTTCGTCAAAACCATCAAGGCCTGTCTGCCATTTTTGTAAAAAACCTGGTCATGCTATGTCCGATTGTTGGGGTTTGAAAAAAGAAAAGCAGGCAACACCCAATGTGTTTGTGTCCACATATAGACATAGTTTCACCAGATCACCCAATGTTGTTGATTTAGCCATTGATGTAAAGACTGATGTAATCAGGGAGGAATTTAGACCTTTTGTGTCTGTTGGTTCTGTGTCTTTAACAAATTACACTGCCAATCCCATATCTATACCTATTTTACGTGATACCGAGGCGACTCAATCATTGTTGTTAGAAGGTATATTGCCATTAGGTTCGAGTTCTGCTACTGATGAGTCTGTTATTGCACAGGGTATTGAGAGTAGCTTTGTTAATGCTCCTCTTCATAATATTTATTTAGCGTCAGACCTAGTTTCGGGACTAGTTATAGTTGGGGTAAGACCTATTCTGCCAATTAAGGGTGTATCCTTGTTGTTGGGAAACGATTTGGCTGAGGAAAATGTTGTTGCCGAACCTAAAATGGTTAACGAGCCAATCACTGTTTCATCTAAGAATGATGTTGTAGTTGAGGAGAATCCCGATGTGTTTCCCTCGTGTTCAGTGACTCCAGCTCAGGCTAAAAAATTAAGCTAAAAACAAATGATAAGCATGGAAAATTAAAACACAATATATAAGCCAGCTTTGAAAATGGATAGCTTCAAATATTTTTGTCATGAAAGGGGTTATACATATGGGTGGATGTATAATTAAAAGCTGAACAGCTTCATTGTATAGTCTTTTTAGAAATATAAAGTACTTAACTTTATTTATTCTACTTTTTTTTCATAGAAACATGTCATGTTTTAGCAGTTATACGTTTATTCAAGTCAAATTCTAATGTTTGAAAATCTTTATTTGTTTTTGTAAAAAGTGAGCTATATTTAATATTCAGAGAAGATATTCATTGCTTCAAATTATAATCAAACAGATTAAAGTCTTAAAGTTGATGATATGATAGAAGCTATAATTTTTTGATGATTAAATAAAAATGTCAATATCATGAAAATATATTTGTGTTTTATCCAATTCTTTTTCTGTTTGCTAAAAGTCAAATCTGTAGCATAATTATTTAGCATTTCTAACTCCTTTCAGTAAAAGGAATTACACATGGCTTTCGTTCTGCTATATTTACAGAGGCCAGTGTAAAGTCCAACACTACTCAGATATAATTTCAGCCCAAAACTTTCTGCCCAAGCAAGATACCTTTTTCTACATTCTTGGGTACAACCCTGAGACCCATAGGCTGGCTAGCACACAAGGTGAGATCCGTGTTGGCCCAAGCCACCAGGCTAAGTTGCCTAAATGCCAGCCTCACCTCCCATCACAAGAGATGCCTGAAATATGCGAGTCTTTGGAGGAGCTTCGCTGGTCACCTGGCATTCCAGACTGTGATTTGATGATGTACCTACGTGCTGCTCGGTAAGAATAAAACTGCTTAGATTAATTATAATTATTGTTGGCAAATGAGCAGAATTTTACATCACCTTAAAATAAATAAAAATTAAAAATTCTTTTATTCAATATACTGTAGTATTCTTTCTGTCTGTCTTTCCAACAGTATTCTCTCTCCCTGTCAATATACACATTTAATTATTTGTATTTTAACCATTACAAATTGAGTGAGAGAAAGCAAAATTTGCAGTTTTGCATCACAATATTGTTATTCTCCCTTATTAGGATAGCTTTTTAAAGAATTAGGTACAACAAGCATCAGGTGAGCATTCTTCTCATCTATATATATGTAGTTATGTATGTATATATATATACACACACACACACATAATTGGAAATAATTATGGAAGCACACAGGTGATACATCCAGGAGTCACAAACAATGTTTACTTTCAATTAAATGGTCCATTTATCAGTATTACAATTTATTATTTAAGAAAGCATCACACCTTGTTTTATGCTATCATACGTTTATCAATTATATGAATTTATGAATGAAAGTATAAAAAAAGAAGGTAATAATATGTCAGCCACACTATATCTTCTATATCTAGTGCCAACAAGACATTTCACACAATACCAGAACACATAAGGCAAAAATATGATTATGAAATATTGTTAAAATTTCCTAAATTACTCCTCACAAATATGTCAAATTATTGGTTGCAGGTTGACCTTCTCAATTTCCATATAAACCTATATAGCCTCGAGAATATTCCTAATGAAAGTTCGTGCACAACAAACTATGGTTCTGAATGTTCCATCAGCTTGTTTTTTGCTTCCAGGTATAATTCTCTGTGTGCATGGGATCACTGTCTGGCTTGAAGATGAAGCCCTGCCTAACAGGTCTTGTTCCTGAGGGAATAACATGACAGATAAGAATGTTCTTGTGACTGTCAGCAGCCAAAGTGCCATCAGTTTCATGTAGATCTCCAAAACCATTGGATTTTTGTTTGTTTACCTCTTCTAAGCAATGCCTGTTTGAGCAGCTACACTTTTAAAGCCACTTCATCCTAATGTGTTTGATACTGTTACGAAAGCGGAATTCACGTGACGCTGGTAACATGTAATGAGTATCTAGAACGTTCGTGAAGGCTCCAATATTTACCAGACACCCTTTATTTCGTATATGTAAGACTGGCGAGAAGTGACGGCATATATAGATAATTAAATAGCAGACAGAAATATAGAGACAGATAATCGAGTCAAGCCGTAAGTAAAGTGTGTGAATCGTTATGAATTCTAGCGTGTGTTTAAGTTAAAGTGACTGTGGAAATTAAGTGTATTGCAAAGTTGTATTGAGAAAGAATAAACTAGTTTTATTTAAGAAAGGACCTGTACTGCTGAAGTTTTTTTTTTTTTGGTAAATAATTTCTACGGAAAATTAACCAACGACCAGATAGTAACAAATTGGTGTCAGAAGTGTGGTGGAAAAAAAATGAAAAAGGAGATGGAAACGAGAGGTGGCAAATCAAACTACAGCTTAGCAGATTTGATGGCAGAAATACAAGAACAGCAAAAGAAACAAGAAGAGAGTCAACAGCAGTTGCAAGAAAACCTGCAACAGTGGCAGCTCGAACAGTAAAATAAACAAGAGAGATTACAGCAGTTGTTGGAGGAAAAAGAAAAGAAACAAGAAGAGAGATTACAGCAGTTAATTATAGTATTTTGGCACTTGTGTATAAAGTTAAAATCATAAATAATATTCAACGTTAAACTGGTACACAGTTAAAAACGTTTTATTCAGGCCTGTCTATGGCCTTCATAAAATTGACGACTTTACATGTTTCGACATTACACTCTTGAGGATGACGTTGTAACATCAAAACATATAAAGTCCTCAACATTTTGAAGGCCATAGATAGGCCCAAATAAAATGTCTTAATCGTGTACCAGTTTAATGTTGAATATTATTTATGATTTTAATTACAGTAGTTGTTGGAAAAAAAAGAAACAAGAAGAGGGACAACAGCGGTGGCAAGAAAACCTGCAACAGTGGCAGCTCGAATAGCAAAATAAACAAGAGAGATTACAGCAGGTGTTGGAGGAAAAAGAAAAGAAACAAGAAGAGAG